AGAGGTGAAATGGAGGTCAGGGTCATTAGCAAGAAAGTCAATGCAATGTTTTACAAATTTTTGTCTGTGGGATGTAGCCAGACACAATCTATTGTAATTACAGGCCGTCTGCCTAAAATTCTCTTGTAGCTTAAATTGGATAGCAATAATCTTAATTTCCTGTCCTAAGTGGTTGTACAGAACTGCTGTATTTCACCCCAGAGGTCTCTGCATTTTACTGGTGAGGAAAGCATTAATTGGCTATAAATCAATTCCTATGAAAGGTGCTCTATAACTGTATGTTTTCACTCTTCCTGTTCSGTGCTGGCAGCAAGTCTGTGCCTTGCACTTTACAGACAGATCAGAAATAAAAGTTGTGTTCCCAAGGGGCTGCAGTTGAAATAGATTATGCACAGATGTAGAGCAGAGATGAGATGTGACCAAGTGCCAGTGATTGAGCAGTGAAAATAATTGCAWATCTTGTTAGTTCCACTTTAGTTCCACTTCTCGTAATAAAGGAATGCTTCTACATGTGTGTGTGTGCTGACAGAAGGAAAAGCATGAAGGAAGGTGTGGTGCTAAGCAGCACAGCAGGAGAGGCTTGATGAAAGAATCTCAGGCAAGAGGAAGAGCTATTAGACAAGTAGAGATGAAGGCAGAGGAGAGCTGGACAGTACCCAGGCTTTAGTGGGACAGTGGGATAAAATGGACAGCAAAGTGGATGGAGCTGAGAGGAGCAAAAAGGTTAGGCTTGTGCATGCCTTGAAACATGACTTGAAAGGGTGTGAAGAGAAGCAGGCACTGCTGGTGCAATTGATGAATTTTGCTGTAGTATTATAGTTTGATTAAAAAAAGGAGTCCAAATAAACATTAATGGAGTGAGAAAGGAGGAGACTGCAGCAGCCAGGCAGAGAAAATACAGCTTGCAGTGCTTTGCAGCTGAGACAGAATAACATGGACTGATTGGGAAGATCTGCTAGGTCTCATGGTACARGCCTTATCACAAGCTGTTTACATGCTAGTGTAGTTGTCAGATATGGTGAGTTTCATTTGTTCAGCTAACTGCTTATAGTCTGAAGACAGGTTTTTTGCTGTGGGTATGCTTAGTTCATTCATTAGTCATCTCTCATTTTTATTACTCTAATGGCTTCTGGCTAGACGTTGTCCTTCTTCTGCTCTTCACTTACAATCTATTCAAAAATCTGCCACATACATAATATCTTGTCATCTTCTCTGTTCACTTCGTTTTGCTGCCAGATCCCCTTAAAACTAACTTCAAATGTCACACTCGAGATGAAAGAAAATCACACTTTGAATTCCTAGTTAAAAGAAATGGTTGTTTGTCCTTTGTTATAGTTATTTCAAGAGAATTGTTTTAAAAGCCCATCACTCTTGCAGTGTGACAGTCACCTTGGAGTTCTGCAGGAGGTACATGGCACTGAATGATCACAGTAATTCAYAAGATTTCTGCTTGTACTGTGTGGGGTCCTGCATTGCCAGCTGGCTACCACAAAAAGGAGATTCAAKACTTCCTTCCAGAAGAAGGAAAGTGGTGCTTGTGCATGCATTGCAGCATTCCTGCCTGGGGAAGAGGGCAAGTTGTGAGTAGTGTGTTGGTAGGAAGAGAGTAACTTTAGTGAGCGTGGAAAGTTGCTGTGGAACAAAGCAATAAAATGGCAGCTTTAGGGTTGCTTTTGGTCTGAAGAGCAGCTTGTTGTTTTCTCTTTCTTCATGCTTTTATTCCTGAAAGGCATCTGGGAGGAGAGGGCTCAGAGGGTGAGGCACAGAGGTAGGGTTTGCACTGTGTTAGTGGCCAGGGAGAGGTGCTGACTGCCTCAGGTTCAGAAGTGAACATGGGCATCTGAGAGTTGTGCATCATCAGTGATGGGCTACTATGAGAGTGAAGAAAAATGGCTATTAGAAGAAAGAGAAGGATTTTCAACTTAAAGGGAGAAGTGGCTTGGATTAACAGGTGATGGCATGSACCTTGGAAAGAAATTCATCACTAGATTCCATCTGTGCCGTTCTGCAACTGCCCTTAGATGGAAGTTACTCCTATCCTAAAGGATGGTAAGAAAARGGAGCTTCTCTCCTAATAGGAAGGAGACAAGAGTTTACTTGATTAGAGATTTGCAAATGGAGTGTGATTGCAAATCATTGGAGATAATGAGAGTAAAAATTTACATGTTAATACCAAAATTAGTAACATTAGGAAATACAGTAAGTGAGAGTGAAAAATTCTGTGAGAATTTGGAAGCAGGACCCCTGAGAGCTSTTCCCATGGCTTACTGTGCAGCAGTGGAAGAACTTGTACAAGCAGTGAGAACTCACAGCTCCACRCTGGTCACCAAAAACAGGTCTCAGYAAATCACCCCTGAGGCTGTGGCTCTGCAACTTGCCAGGCTCCAACAGTCAACAGAACACTGGGCTTTTATCTTCTTTTAAAAAACACTTCTCAGAGCAGTTTTGAAGCTTTGAAGAGTGATCCTGCAGTGAACGTGGAAATACAGTTTTTTCTTATTGTCTTAATATTTMGTCTCAATTACAAAATAGCTTGTTAGCATGTTGTCTCAGTATGTTCCTGAGACTTCATCTACATGTCCGAATGGTTACAGCTGGGAAATAATGTTGCAATTTAACTACTCACTGCTAGCAGAATGGCCAGGAAATATGGTTAAAATTCTTTGAGACTTCAGAATATTTTTAAAAAATATTTTAAGCTTCTTGCTCCTGTCTGTGGTGGAGACAAATATGAGCTGAGTTGATCTGTGCCATAGCAATCTGTGCCGTGTTCTGTGTCACAGGCCTGTGCTCCTAAAGAGTGCAGCTTTTGCTGAAGGGTCTGTGGAGTCAGAAGCCTGATTAAAAACCTATCAGAAGGGCTGAGCTAGGGCACAGCTGGGCCAGGAATGGGGACACGTGTGTGTGTGTTTGTGTGTGTGTGTGTGTGTGTGTGTGTGTGTGTGTGTGTGTGTGTGTGTGTGTGTGTTGGTTATTACTAAACTGGGCCACAGAAAATGACCAGAAAGGAAGGTGACAATGTACTTTGTCTCTTGGATTCATGCAGGACATGCTGAGGCATGGAAGATGTAAGCAGAAAATATGAGGTTGGCAAGACAGAGTGAGCTATCCATGTTAGCTTTTGTGCATGCAAACAAGTAATAAACTTGGAGAAAGACTAATTCAATATAAAAATCCTTGTCAATGTGAAGTTTTCAGAGGGTAATTAAGAATATGATTTTTTCTTTTGGTAATCCAGTGACTGTTGAGAAACTGAACATGTTGTTATTAACCAGAAAGGTCCTTTGCTCCATGTCTCATTTCAGTTGGCATTGTTACATTAAAACCTACATTTCTCCTGCTCAATTACTTTTTGATCTGCAGGCTCCAGCCTCTACTCCAGCATTCCTTTTTCTTGCTTATTTTCTTTATATCAAAAATCCTTACTARATCCTTGGCTTCAGCAACACACAATACTCATCAATCATGTTTGAGCCAGGAAATTTAGCATGTGCTGTTGTGTGCCATGATGAAATTTGCTTTCACAGCATGAGAAGTCCCTTAAGTTTATTGCAGTCCTGAAATRTCCTAATACCACTGTCACACAGTTTGCAGTGTTGCAAACTCTGTTAATTCAGAGGTTTATCATAAGGGGGGTGGTTGTTTTTACCAAGAGGCAAAGCTATAATTTTTTGTTGTTTTTGCTTTTTCAAATACCAGATTATTTTTGTTTCAATTAATTGACCCTGATATGCATAAATTGTCTTTTTAGGACATCTTACTCATCTTCCTTTAAAATTTAGATAATATGCTTTRTTTTAAAAAAWTAAWCATAARATCTWGTTTCTGTTTATTACTGTTTCTTAYGCTATAGCACATGCCTGCTTCTTTTTATCTTGCCAAAAAGCAAATTCATCCCAATCACTCCAGCTTGGTAATCTTCATGACCTACTTATTTGTCTATCAGCAGAAATTTTAGAATTCCCAACACATGTGGGTAATGAATGCTATTTACTCAGTTTACACCTTCCACAAAAACAGGTCTGAAGTRGAGAGCTTTGCACTGTAACTGTTGGCCAAAATGTTGTACTTTGCCTCATCAGTGGGTGACATAATTCTGTCTCATGTCACACAAGAAGGCTGCTGGTCTCCAGCTGCTCAGAGTTTATACCTGGGAGAGGTGAGCTTGATAYTGACAGTGACTTCAGGTTTGTCTTGAGGTGTGTCTTGGACTTCTCTGCAGCCCAAGCTCAGGGCCAGAGAGGTGATGAAGGACATGGTGACAAGCTGTGCAAGGCTCCTGTAATGGCTTCTSCATGGCACTGTGGAAAGAGGTGCCACACAGCAACACAGTTCCAGTGATGAACACGGTGTATTCCTTTGCAGATCTGGCAGTGAACTATTCCTGCACAGTCTCTGTGTGATGAAGTAGTACTGTTTCTACCTGTAAATTAAGGAGCATTGAGCAGCCAAGAATGCAAACTACTGGTGTAACTATCCCTAAGTTCAGAGCAGGTGCAGCAAGCTCTGATCCTAACAAGAGAGGACAGGCATTACTTTCTCCATGCCYTGCAAGAGTCACCTCTGGATGACACCTGCGCTAACATTATCACCTGACTCCACTCTTGGACAGGCACAGGGAAARCAAACATGCTTATCAGCTGACATAAACTAGACTCAGACTTACATCATTCAGATTCTGAACAAACAGCAGACACAAGCTACCTTGGTGTGTCCTGGCCTCTTGTGCCTTCAACAGAAATGCAATCAAAAAAAGCCTTGCGGTACACAGGCAACGGGCCACTGACCAGATGATCCTCTTCCTTCTCTGAGAAGGGCAGAGTAGAAGCACTTATGTGCTGCTTCCCTGTTCTACCTCAATAATTAAGCAGCCAATTTTATCCTTTKCTTGATTTTATTGTAAAGTGCATTCACAGCTGACTATTGCTGCCTGCAGTAACAAGCAGCAGTAGAATAAGCACTGCATTACTAACACAAGCATGTTTTATTTTTCTTTACAGGTAACTGTGCTGGTCCTTTTTGCCCTTGCATTCTTAACGTGCGTTGTATTTCTGGTAGTCTACAAGGTTTACAAGTATGATCATACCTGTCCAGAAGGATTTGTTTTCAAGGTAAATTGCACACCAATTCTAGAAAAACAGTAGAGTATGTAATAATCTGTATTGTTTTAATCAGTAACCTYGATTAATTCATGCTGTATTGCAGAGATCTGGTGTTTCTTTTCATAGGTTAGTGTGTTTCCTGCTATGCTTTTTCTTTGTAATTTATAATTGAGGTTGTACTATTGCACAGTATTAAGAGTGTTATATTGCTAATGCTTTAAACATTGAAAATACAGCAAAAGTCCAAACACTGGTGTCTTTCAGACTTACTTCATCTGCAGTTGTCTGGACAAAACCCTCATTTATGGGTAATATGGTTTAATGCTGCATGTTCCTCCAAATTACTGTGTCTTGGGAAATAAGAAAATGATAAAATGTGGAGAAAAAAAATCTGGAACATGTGTCAAAGAAACAGTAGAGTGATGTTCTCATTAAGAGTAGTAGAGTTTCTTCAGGGTTATTTTTGTAGGAAGAACTTCTTGTTCTAGAACAGCGACCTCTGAGCCCTACTGCCAAAAGTGATGCCAAAAAAGGGAAAACACATTTATTGGAAAAAATACTGGTTCTAACCAAAAGGGAGACTGGGCACACTTTATTTGTGTGAGAYGGTAGTGCTGGCTCCTTTGCTATGACCTGGGCTGAAAGTCAGAATAGTAACATTGATTTCACAGTTGTAAATTTAGCAGAGWTGAAATTGGCTGTAATTAGGTAAGAAAAGTAGCAGTGATGATCACATTCTTCCTTTTAATTTTTTTTGGTAATATTTAGTCACATAATGAATCAAATGGGTACCCAGTATGAACTTCAAAAGGATTTAAGAAGGGATGCCTGCCTCAGCACTCCTCAACAATCATGTTCAGGATCTCATGTGTTACTTCTGGCACATAAATATCTTACAAGAATCTAGTCCAAAATGAAAATCGGTGATGCCCTTCCAGATCAATTTAAGTTCAAACATTCTGTTGGTTACTGCTTTCTCTTTGCTCAGCAGCAAAAGATGCTGTGGTTGGAATACTTGGCTTTAACTCAGGAGAYGCAGCTTTTGGTTCTGCTGTTGGCTTTCTGTGTTGTCTCAAACAGGCACTGAAACCCCTCTGCGTTCATGTCTCAGGGGACAATAGGCCTTTTTTTTCCCCTAAGCTTTCTCTTGGCATTGAGCAATTTGGAATATGGACTGTATGTTCCTTTCAAGCCTGTCTTGATGTGATCCTGACTTGACAGGAATGGCCAGTTACACGTTCCTGTGTAAGTCTAGCAACAGTCTCCTGCTTCTGCTTCCTTTCACACTGCATTGTCTTCTCTTTTGAATTGTACCCTTCTGGCTTCTTCAGGCTTTTCTTGCCAGTGTCTCAAGTATTTAAGGAAACACGCTTTCTCAACTATATTTCAGTTGCCCTGTGAGCAGAGTGTGGTTGTGTTTCTCTTTCAGGCCTATGTTTGGGACAGAAGTTAGGCAGAATGTCCCACAGCTCATGCTCTGTGTTAAGGTGCAGCACATACACAAAGCTGCATCATGGTTACTCTACTGGTGGGGTTTTTTTTTGAGCTGGTGTTTTAAGCTGGCATAATGCCAGGAAACACAGCCTCTTTGGTCATGTAACTCTTAAAAAAGAGTTCTACAGTATAAGGATGCTGGCAAAGAACACAAGGACTGAAAACTACCACTGTTAAGATGACTTTGGATGTATTTGCTTTTGCATCTTTTATTGGGAGAGTCCAYGATATGTGATGGCATAGCTTGGCACAGATGTCCAAGGTAACATGAAGTCTGTCGCCTTGTGACAGTGTCTCTGTGGACTTAATGTCTCAGGTGGACTCAACAACTGGCCTGGATGTTTCCAGGTTTCAGGTGCTGATGTGATTTCCCGGCTAAGGGCAAAGGTGTCCCTGCCTCAGGAAGCCTGGTACTGGCAGGAATCTCTGCATAAAGGCTGAGCTACCACAGCTCTGAGTCAGACTCACTCTCTGCTTTGATGCTCTCATCCATGGAGCAGTTCCAAAGGCTTCTGCTGTACTACGCCTCCAGGGCATGAAGGTGTGCTTAAAAAAGTTCTCRTTTTCCTTTGTGCAGCAATCTTATTTCTTTGCTTGTTTAAGCTTTCAGAGACAGCCTTAGTACTGCTGCTGTGCAGAATGCTTCACTGGAGCACTCATCACTATCTATTGGTGAGACTCACTGCAAAAACCTGAGTGCACTTACACCCTGAGCAATTTCCCCAGGGTTTCAGTATGTTCTGTACCGTATCTGTTCCCCTTCAGYTTTTGCTGCCAAAGCACCTGCGTTCTGTCAGACTCGTACACAGTACAACAAAGACACCTCAGTGCATTGAAGACCACACCATCATCTGTTAAACTGGGAATTACTGACCCAGCAAAGTTAGCATGACAGAAGATGCTATTTATAAGTGAATACCACTGGGGTTCTTAAGTCAAAGGAACAAAAGGAATCATCTTAATTCAGCCAGATATAGACTGGCAAACAGGGTTTTCTCTGGCAACAAAGGCCATAACCTCTAACTAATYTCTGAAATAGAAAGGCTGTGAAAAAAAGACTGGCGATTCACTCTGGAGCATCCCACTTTCTCCTCATGGCCTTCCTTCTTGCTTCTCTCACCTGGGAACCATGGAAACAAATTAAAAGGATGGAAATAAATGTTCTACATAGCTGAAGGTCTCAGGCAAATGACAGGATAAGAATCAGCAGCAGTTCCCATCACTCATCTAGCAACTGAGTGCTGCATGGCTTGCCTTGACTGGGAGCTAAGCCAAGGGGCTGTCCTTGGGCAGTACACCAGGRGCAATGAGTAAAAGGAGAGGTTTTCCCATATTTTCTGGAAGCATGAAATCCAAGGAGCAAAAATGCAGTCAAGAGGGAAACTTGATGTGTGTTTCTTTAGGCTCTTCTGTCAGATGTTTTACATGTTTGTGACTACAAAAACAAACCAAAAAAACCCAAAAACATTACTGAGTCATTCTTGCCTGTTACAAAGCAAATCGTTTTCAAAGGCAACACAAGATTCWGTGGCATTTTTTCAGACTGTCAGTAATCTTGGCTTGTCTTCAGCTCTAATAATTATACTTGCTTGAATTTTCTTGGCAGATTTCATTAGTTCAATGGATTGTGTTCCTTTCCCCATTTTAAATATTTAGAATTGTGATTACATCCCATGACTGGGTGAAATAATCACTACAAATATGTCTATGTACTTCTTAGTCATTTTATCACATCAGAAGTAGTGTCAGTTATCCCAGATAAAACATGGATAATGCTTCCAGAAGATGGCATGGTTGATGTAAATGAATAGGYATATCAAACAGCTCTGTTCCATATTCCTGGATTATGTTTTTATAAATCTAGGTCCCAGTCTTGCAGCTGGCAAATACATTGATGATGAGCTTGGGAAAGCCTCTGTTGACTTACAGTGCTGAACAGACACGGCTGCTGTTTAGCCAGGGTTAAATCCTTCCTGCTTTGTTGTGCTACTTCAACAAAACCATGAGAGACTTGCCCTGGCTGTTGCCTTGATGGAAGATAACAGATAAAGGGAACAGGGTGGATGTGGTAACTCTGGGCACTCCTGTGAGTCTGACACTGTGAGGCTTCTGTCACACCTGCGCGTTTGAGCCACTGAGGTGCTGACTCTGTGGGAGGGCTGTCAGTTCTGTGATGGAGAAGCATTCTGAGCCATCACTTGTGCTACATGATTGAATTCATCGGGGGCAGGCAGGTKCTGTGACTACCTGTGGGCCTCTTGTTTTGGCAAGTGTTCTTTCTTCTTTCATACTTTTTCACTTTTTATCAGGCTAGCCTTTTTAGGATGCAAAATTTGTATTAAGCTAAGATTGTCCACTGGATCTTTCCCCATCCTGTCCTTTACTGACTTAAACTGTTTGAAAGATTATTTATGCCTTTTTTTCTTCTTTTTTTTGACAAGGACAAAAGTCAATTCAGAAGTAAATGTCAACATATTTTAGTTAGCATCTGATCCTAAAACCCATAGAATTTTTGTGTTTTTCTGCTGAGAAATTTCCAATATAAATTTTTTTTTCCAAGTAGAATAGTAGCAATTCGAAGTTGCTATGCTGTAGTATCATAAATTTTAGTCCCATGGTGCTGGAAGCAGGGACACTGAACTTARTATTTCTTTTCAAAACAGCCAAAGTAGAAATGATTACATGTGTTTTTCCTCAAGTTGCAGCTACTTCTAGCTTACAACAAGACAGTTSTATTGCTCAGGTGACTGCCCTAACACATTGAAGTGTAAGACAAGACTRGACTGGCCAGTGTGGCAAGAGGACCTGCAGAGAGACCCCAAGACCTTCTGGGACAAAWGCTGGGAGGGTCATAGTAAATGTCCAAATAGTTTTGTTTCTTTGGTGGAATGAGCTGCTCTGTGGACTCTTTCTGCACCATCACTGGAACAGTTGCTGGATAATACCTGTGACAAATGCACTGCACGGGCACATTCACTCTGGAGTTTAAGATGTCAACAACATTTGGATCCTACTTTGTATTTTAGTCTCTAAATTATCTATTTCACTTTCCAAAGCTCTGAGCATCTAGCAGGTTCTATGTAGTGCTCTTACWCTCCTGGGAAATGAAATAATGTAGTCTCACAGCTCCAGAGAGCTTTTTAAAAGCCTTCTGTTGGCTACATTTTTCTGACAACCAGGAGGGAAGTATTTTGTATGTGTGTACACACTTGCACATACACTTGGCCACCCACAATGTTTTCCCTGTATGTGTTAGCTACTGGGCTGTAAAACTGTTCATACCTTGGCACCAATGTATCAGTATTAATTTGTGTCCCTCAGACTGCAAACACCAGGGTAAATTGCCTGAAGTTAACCTAACAGTAGGATACGGACAGMTGTAGTTGTAAACCAAACAGTTGGAATCTGGTGGGCAGGAATAAACAGCAAAATGTGGCTGGAACTGGAGATTGAATACTTTTAGAAATAATTTTAGGCAAGCACATTTCTTTTGTGTTAATTATACTGGCATATAAATCCAGATTGGGCTTCCTGGCAAATGCACGAGTAGTTTAAGGATTGCAGGGAGGAACATTTTGAACACAGTAGGACTAACTGTAGTTAATTGCTGTATGTTGCATCTTGACTCACAGAGAGTGACTGTTGGCTTACACTAAAAGGAAAAGGAGAAAAAAACCCCTAACCTGCTTCATGTGTATCTGAAATCTAAGCAATGGATTTTCTTTTCAGAATAATCAGTGCATTCCAGCTGGGTTGGAAAACTACTACTCTGAACAAGACTCCAGCGCTCGAGGGAAATTTTACACAGTCATAAACCACTACAACCTGGCCAAACAAACCATCACGCGCTCCGTGTCCCCGTGGATGACAGTACTGTCAGAAGAGAAACTGTCTGAACAGGAGACTGAAGCTGCTGAGAAATCAGCTTAGTGTGATAAGCTAATTATTAAAACTATGTCATTTGAAGGTAACTAAGGGACTTCAAGGAACTTTTCATTAAATATAATTATGGATAATTTAGAGGTTACTCATRTTTATGGTGCAATTGCTTCTGTTTGCTGATACTGCTTTGCAAAAAAAAGAAAAAAAAGAAAACAAAAACTTGCTGCAGAACATTCATGGGCATAACCCCAGGTGCATATCAGCATTGCTGTAGAGCTTTGACACCGTTTTCAATGTAAAAAAAAAAAAATCCAATGTTAGATATGTTCTTGCAGTTTATTGGATACTGATAGATTTTGTCACTGGATTTTCAGGGCTTGGACCTTAGATAAATCATGTGTTCTGTTGTCTGAACAGATACGTAATTTATTAAGTTTTTTAGTTCTTTGTCATTTTGCAAACTGAAACACCCCAGCCATAACTAGAGTGATCTCTTGTTTAGCTGAAAGCTGTAAGTAATCTTTAGTTTGGGCTCAAGCAAGAATGATAGTCAGCACTGATGTGGGGGCCTAATGTAATGACTTGTATGGAGAAAGAAACTGTCAGGTCGCATTTTTCCTTACATTTCCTTTACTGTTTTTTGTAAGTGATAATGAAGTTCTCTGCAAAAAGGCATGCTCAATGTTTTCTTATTGCTGTCAACAGGATTTAACTGCATTTCCACTGTGGCTTTAGCATCTTGGTAAGGATGTGCACTGAAACACAAACTAGATAGACATTATGGAGAAACACAGGCAGTTTTAGTGGTGGGTGTTGAGGATAGTGTAAAAAATATACAGTTCAGGATGTTCGAATGAAATGACATCTTTTGATCATACTTARGAGGCAGAAAGCCTATTCACAGTACATGTAGTCCACTATGTCATTTGTTGGATACAGCTGAAGGAGTAATATGTCTAAATTTTCTCTTGTATTACATTCACATTTTCCCTTTTTATTAGTTAGGAAGATCTTTCTGTTTATGTATGGTTTGCAGTTTGATACTTTTTAAAACACRGAGCATCACAAGTGAAACAGTAGCATATTAGATACCACAGCTGGCTGTTAAAGCTACATGTGAAACAGAGTGAGAGTAGAACTGTTTGTGTATGGCTTGGGAGGGGAAAAGACGTAGAAGAACATAGTATTGTGGATGCACGTTMAAGTTCCATTGTAATTACAAACTTACCTATTCTTTGTGTGAAATCATGTTTTCATTTTTATTATAAATCTTAAACATACATTATAAAAAGACATCTTATTAATTTAACATACAAAATAAGTGTGTGACGCATCTGGGCAAGCAAGTTGGGTTTTTATTCATGTAACTTGAATGGGACGAGGGGGAGTGGACATGTCAAAAGTTTGGTTTTTTTGGTAGAATCTGTACAAAAATTAAGGGAAAATATCAATGTAGGCTGTTTCTCAAGATCTGTAGTAGAACAAATGTGGTCAGCTCTACTTCTGTTTTTCTCCAGCAGAAGCCTGTCATCCCAATACAATAAAATTAACCATTATGACTCAATGCTCTAGATTTGATAGGAAATGTACATTACACAGTGCAGCTGTAAAAGCTTTTTATTAAGTCATCATGGAATGTGGAATGCATAAGAAGCAATAAACTATGTGCCAAATTTTTCTTTGCATTTAAAAATATCAAGCTTATGTTAAGATCTTTAAAACATGCCACATTTGCATTTTCTAACAGGCATCTGCTTATTTSAATATAATTAATTCATATGTAACTTTTGACATTTTCACTATGTGCAGAGTAAGGAATACGAATGATGCTGTTTGTTGCATAAAATGTATAGAACTATACATTTCAGAAGAGAGACAGGAAAACACATATTTCATATCAATGTATTTGTAGAGGACATTCAGATTTTACACAATGAAAAGATCTGTTTCCCAAGACTGTCCTACATAGAAATGATTCACAATACATCTCCTCCCTTTAAATTTAGGACAATAAAAACGTTAATGCACAAGTAAATATTGATGAGAAACAAATTATTTTTCTCCTCATAACAATGAACAATAAAAATTAGTAAGCCTTACAATCTAGGAGAAACAGATTGTTTATGCTTCTTGAATTCAAAATCATTTTTCCTCTGATTTAACAGGAGGGAGTTTATTGAGTCTTATCTACACTTGGTTTTGAGACTTTTTTAGTTAACAAATTCCTCCCAGTACTTTAAAGACTTTTTGACTTTATTATTGTCTATCCTTTGGCTTTGTTCCAGCATCCCAGAACATCTGTTTCATTGCACAACCTGTTTGTGTTGTATTCTCTCTTTTCACCTCCAAGTAAAGATCTTCAGTTGACTCCTTTTCATTATTACTACTATTAGATCAAGCTGATTTCTGAGTCAATAGTTTCAAAGGATTAGAAGTAGAGGTCATAAATGTGTGAAGTGATGACTGTGTACTGAAGTGGTGTGATGAAATAAACGCCTGAGACAGTGTAGATACTTTYACACAGTAACAGTTTTCTCTTGATCTGGGATGGGAGCTGGASTTTCCACATCACAGATGGGTGGCTGTTGCAAAACCAGTGTGGTTATTTTTTCTTAGCTCTGCTCCAGCTTGTAGCTTCTTCATAGCTCTTTCCTCTTTCAAAGAGTTTTGTGTCCTCCAGAAGATTAAGCATGGTTTTATGTTTGATAAAGGGATTTAAAATGAATGTACTAATGGATATGTGCACACACTTGTTTATTGGAAAATATTTCCATCATAGAGGTACAAAAAACTGCATAAAATACATAGGTATGCTGTGTACTCCCCTCTGTGGAAAAAAATGTCAAAACATTTACAGAGCATGGAGACAATAGTATGTTTAATTAATTATCATACCAGTCCAGGAAAAGCAAGGAGAATGAACACATCACAAGGAAGAAGAGGATCCATACTCTAAATCCAGCATTGTTTTTGATGGCCTATGACAAAAAGGTTATCCCTGTTACCATCACCAATAAACATAAAACTTCAACAATGGCAACCCAGAATGCCTGTTAGTGGCATCACCCTTCCCTCCCACAAGAGAAACAACAAAATTTGCTCTGAATTTCAGGTGAATATACATCAGGTTGGCTCTACCTCTTTAGATTTATCACACTAAAGTCACACTCAAAATCTTAAAATTGGACATTTGGAAAAAAATAAAAACATTAAAATCCCAAGATCCATGCAATCAAACGTTAGGAACCATATGAAAAAGTCCATGCTTCAAAGTTAGTTTTAAATTCCAAAAGTGAAATTCCATGATTGAAAGTAATCAGGCCTTCATCTTTCTAACATCTGACTTAAATGAAAAAACAACAAAACCAAAAATAAACAAAAAACAAAACAAAACAAATAAACAAACAAAAAATCCCTGACAACTCTGGAGCTAAGTCAGTCACTTACTTCAGTCTCAGAGCAAATATTTTTATTGGATTGTCCTTTCCAAAATCAAGACCTGCAGAGGACCTGTTTTTTGCTCTCATTTTTTAGATTTACATATGGAAGATTTTTTTATGTGATTACAACACTAACGTGAGTAACAAACTTTTTATTTTAGTACCTTTCATTACTGTGTCTCAGGATGCTTTAGGGAACTTAGTTCTACCTACAAATGTGAAAAATGAAGCGAAGTATAGCTTCAGTTCTTGCCATGTTTGGTGCACTTTTCAGGARAGCAGAGCAGTGGATAACTCATCCTTGAGATACCTTTTCTATGTTCTCTCAGGAGGGAGAAAGAAGCGAGCCATTTATTCAGTAGTCTAATTTAGGAACTCAGTTTTTATTGAAATCTCAGTTCCCAAAAGAAAACATCCTTCTAATTAATAAAGTAGAARAGATTTTTTTACTCAGAGCACACAAGAAGTGTTCAGGGTGGTAAAGAGTCTCTTCTGCTATCACTCAGCATCTAACTCCAGTTTCAACTATTTCAGCACTGTCTTTTATTGGCAGTCTGAAATTTCTGCCCTGCCCCCTATTTTTTAAAAAAAAACTTCACAGGCACTTATGTGCAAGTCAGGTGACCTTCATGTTTAGAAAACTAGTGAGGCCAAGTAGATTTGATTTCTGCAGCCCTGTGAGCTATTCAGATCATAGTTAGCAAGTGTGAACTATTGAGAAGCTCAGCTATCTCATAGTTTCCCCAAACCCCTGTCCTGACACCCYAACACCCACTGCACCAGTCCCATCACAGAGGTCACACATGATGTTTAAAGCAACGCTTGGAAAAACCTGAAAGTTAAGAGAAACAAGTGAGTTTAAAACACAAATTCAAGATATTACCTCTCTTATGTCTTCATTGCCCTCTTTTATATTCTCTGTTGCACCCACAACTAATTGATGGATATTGTCAATATCMGTTTCCTGTTTAAAAAATAAATAAAATTGAGAAATAGTAATGAATGTTAGGTTAAAAAAAAAAAAAAAACACTTCCAAGAACTTGGGGAACAAGCAGAACTTAAAAGCAAAATAAAATCTGGTATTACTAACATCTTTGTTTTGTTGATGCAAAGGCATAGAGTAATACAATTGAGTTGTAATCTTTTTATCTGTGATTTTACGAACCTGAATGAAGACCACCAAGATCAGTAGGATGTCTCCCATTTACCTAGAGTCAAATCTAACCTATCTGATTTTTCCCAGCTGTTTTGGAAGAGGTGCCACCATTTCCAGAAAGGATGCTGTTAAATAACACGTTTAACAGGACACCAGTTCTGAGACAGAGGGATCATTCTAACAACACATATGTCTCATTTTCCATTCCTGGTACATGCTAGTAAGTAACAACAGTAAATATCTTGATGAATTTTAAAAACAAACAAAAATATTTTCCTTCACATTTGCATTGAAGATTCATTAATCTTATGTTTACAAGTGGCAACCAAGAACAAAATACCCCCAAGAAAACATTCAAGCTGTATTTGCTGCTGTAGTWTTACATTATACTGACCTGCTGCAAGACTTTTTCAGTGAATATTTCTTGTAATCTGGAGATTTCCACCACTTTTCCTTCAATTTGTCTTGGCAAAGAACAGAAATACTCCATTAGAAACTAGTGCAAACATGTCTTGCTCCTGCAGATTCAGACTGTCCTTCCCAGTAAGTGGCTGCTCAGGAGGCCACTATTTTGTCAGTCATCAGTGAAACAGCAATAGCTTGGAACCAGGGCTTGGACACTTCRTGGCTGGAAGACAACCAGTCCACACTGAAACCCTGGAAAGGCACCCCCAGAAGTGCCCAATGAACAGCTTTCACTGCCAGGGTTTCACCTGYCTCTCTTCTTTCATTTCATATAACATCCACGGTGGGCAGTTGATTTTGACACCCCCTTTTCCTATTCTGCTCTGGTGTGTGCAGTTCACCTCGCCTAGGATTGATAATCCAAAACTCAATTTCTAGCTTGAGTAGCTGTTTGGGTGTGCTGCACAGTTAGGGAGAGTGAATGCACTGTTGCCTGACTCTGCATGGGGGGAGCAATGGCACCTCCCCTACAGGCATCTGGATATCCAGCGGACAACAGGATATAAATGGAGAATTTAATATTTTAAAACTTAAGTAAGAGAATGTAAACCTTCTAAACTTAAGCAGTACTATTCTGGATAGTTTGTGTCCCTCAGAACCATTTTTACACTGCACATGGTTCCTTTCCTGCRCTGCTCCTCCCACACCATTGCAGCGGGTGCAGATGTCCCCCAGCCAATGCACTGCACACGGGCACTGACCAGGGCATGGCACTGGCATGGGCCAMTGTCTGCCAAGTAACAGGAAATGGTACCTGACTTCATCGAAGAGATTGTTCATTTCACCAACGAGTCTCTGGTTCTCCTGTTCAAACTGGGAAAAGGGGAGAAGGAAATGAATGACACATGAGTTCACATGCTTGGACTCAGGGACCTTTCTCCATTTCCACCGTGATAAACCAACTCCCATCCTTCCTTGCCATCCATTACACTTTATCTCAACTAAAATGATCTTAAAATTACTCAAGTTACTTTGCAGTAAGGAAGAATATACTGGATAAATCTGTATTTTTACAATCACTTTTGAAATTTAAGTGGAGAAAGTTGTCATGCTTGTGAAAGCATGTGTTTCTCTTCATGCCATCTTTGCAYTGCCCTTCACATTCATATCCTGCCTGTGGCATGAAATTTAGGAGCTTTTGCATTTTGCTGCACTATGAAATCTTATGAAATTTACAAATGCATTRCTTTAGTTATTCCAGTAGAGCTCTTCCATTTAAAACTCAGGAGTAATCAATGAAACATTTAAATATATTGCTACAACTAGATTTGTCAAATAAAGGCCTAAATAGAAGGCTTTATATAGGAAAATAAGTTTTACTTTTCAGGTGTACCTGACTATCAGACAATTTGGGATTCATTACAGAACAACTGATGATGCAGCAAGAATGATGACACAATTTTGGAAACAAAAACTGTACAGCCAAAATACAGCAAAGAAGGGTATCCCATGTCACAGTGCAGCTTGTTAGAAACTGTGTAGGTAAAGGCTGTGTTTTAGCATTAGGACACAGAGCTAGGATTTTCATTTTATGGTGCCTGCATGGTTCAGTCCTGGGTGTGAAAGCTGAGGGGAGCCTGCAGAACATGCTCTTCGTGCCAAATGCCCTCAGGGAGCTCTGTGACCTGTCCCACCCAAAAGTGTGTCCTGCCATCAGAGACAGCAGAGCACTTCCTATTGTTAGGGTCACAGGCCCAGTTTCGAGAGGGAGGGGGAGCTTATTCAAGTTATTCCAGAGATTCTCTAGGGCCAAAGCCTCAGTAACAGCTGAACCACTGTGGTATGGGCACAACTGACCAGGGCCTTGCACTTTTCCCACAAAGCTGGGAAATACCTGAATACATAAACAGCACATAGGATACACATTTCTACAGGAAACATTGCCTGCTACAGCCTCTGGCAAACCTGAGTGACACACGCCAGTRTGAGCACCAGAAGATGAGATTCAGAATGCAAAGGCACAGGAGCTGTGCAAGGCAGCAAGCCCTGCTCTAGTTCAGTTAATCTCCCTATTTTGAACCAGCCTACATAGCACACTGGAAATTTGGCATAACTCAATTGCAGTTTCATTAGCAGTGAAAGTCATATTGCAGTTTCATTAGCAGTCTTCTCAGCCACCTGGCAAGGACTTGTTATCCTTCCCAAGGCAGAGCAGAGTGTTGTCAAAGATGGAAATGTCAGCAGAGCATCACTGCTCACAGCTCCAACCTGGTTTTCMATTGGTGCAACAGGAAATGCTCATTATCTGAGCACATACCCAATAATTAAGCTGGCAAGTGAAGGAGGCATTGCCCAAAGACAGTAAAGATTTGAAAACAACTACTGTCCTGGGGAAAAAGCAAAAGAAGGAAGGAGAATTACTGTGTGAATTACTTCAGATACTGATGTGGACAACCCTTCAAATGATCCAAAATGTTACAGCTGAAACTTCTACCATATCAAATACTAAGACAGAAAAGAATAAAGTGTGCATACTACAGAAAGTGCAGTGAAAATAATCYAGGGCAGCCACTGAGATGTTTGTCCTGCTCCTTTCTCCCCCCATGTACCTAGTTCTGAGCAAGTGCTGCTGTTTGTCTGATTTCACACGATGATGCTTTAGCTCACTAAAGACTTTTTCCTCCTGAATTTTCTGGTAGATCAGTAAACTGAATCCCACCACAGGGTCAGATGAGATAGGGCTGCCTTAAAGGTCTGCAGAGAGCAGGGGCTGAGCAAGGCTTCTGCACTGCCACAGAGCAACCCAGAAAGGTAAGAAATTGGGAAAAGGCAAGGCACCTTCCATAGCCTTCACCTTTATTCCCTYCCTCCCACTCCATACCACTGCCTCTATCCCACATACTTGATGCTTTAACATTGTTCACCTTGCTTCAGGCCCATCAGGACCTCAGAGAAAAAGTACCTGACTGTCTTCCAGCAGCACAGTAAATGTCAACCTGCATGACTTAAGGTGAAGTTATTGCTGTTAAACATCAGAAATTTRTAGGTTTAATCTGACTGAAGTGAGTCTGAAATGGCAGGTACATGTTTGAAGAAGGGCAACAGTGAATTTCACAGAAAAAGATTTAGTCTTCTGAGATGGGCAATTTATGCCATGAAGAATAAAGAAAATTTTATTTCTTTTAATATACAGATTTCTTTTTGTACTAGAGGCTCACTGTCTACCTGACTGGCAAGAACAGGCTTCTCTCCTAGGTTAAAGGATTCCACAGAGTCTAAGAACAGGATTATTGAGCACTGTCACATTCACTGTGGGGTAGAGTTTTCAGGGAAGGCACCCCAGCCCCATGAATTGAAGGGGAACAAAGAGCAACATACTGCACAGTTCCATGGAGTCCCATTGATTTCCACTCTAAAGATCCAATGGTTTTGTCAAATAATACCAGTGTGGTAATACATTCAAGTATCACTGTCACTGCTGTCTGTGGTGACACCTCCAGAGCAGAACATTTATGAAAAGATAATTGCCTAAAATACACTGATATTTACTGCACAGCAGCAGATGGCTAAAGGTGCTTCATCACTGCACTGCTTTACATTCATGACTATTCTGTGTCTGGTTCTGGTGGAGTCACCCCACAACAAAACCAAGGAGCAGAGCAATGAAATAGAGCCACGAGATTTAGCACTGTGATCACCACATGGTCCTTGAGACTAAGTGGGGCCACCAAGCTGAAATTGKTTTTTTCTGACTTCTGTAAGGATAAGTATGTCTGTACAAATATTCAACAYTAGAAATTCCCTATTTTGCTGCCTTAGTAAAAATGAGATGATGGCTAATTGAGAAGACAAATTTTCAGTAAAGAAACAGTGAATGACTTTAATCCTTTACAAATAGCACAAATCCACTTGAGAAAGTAGTCTTTAGAAAGTCCCTTTGATATTTAAAACCTTCCACTGACACAGATTGCCTTTTAAACTGCTAAATGATCTTCGCAACTTGAAATCATGGCTGATGGAGCACTTGCACAGACTGCAGTTAAGATATGCTAAAACAGTCAATGGAACAAAGGTTTGAGCACTAAACACATCATATACCAGTGTGTCACAAAGGGATTTACATGATGGGAGCATAAAACCAAGCTCTAGTGATCAGTATAGCTCAGTGGTTTATGGCTTATTGAAGCAGCCTCTTTTATGACAGTGAAATATTCTGTTACCAAAGTATGGCATAAAGTGACAAACTGTTTAATATATGGCTAAAAATCCAATGCACAAAAGAAATAATCACCACTCTCTTCTGTTATCACATGAGGGAAGTCATTAAATGTGCTGTTCCTGAATTTAAGACAAGACCAACCAACCAAAAAAAGATAAAGTCAGAGAAAAGCAGTCATTTTCACATCTCCTAACAACAGAGCCAGATTTTTCCCACTCAATGCAATCACAAGACATCTGCTCACAATAACTATAAAAACCATTAGTATACCTATGAAYTGAAATTTATTGTGCAAATCATGCAACAGCCTGCAAACATTTTGAACAATGTCAAGTTCTCTCCTGAGGTAAAATACTGATAGGAATTGCTGCTGTAGAAATGATACCTTTAATTAATTCTTTTATCTACACAAAGAATCGTGGAACCATGATTGAGATTTGTTAAGTGTTAATTTGACACAACTCATCCCAATTTAAAGCCAGCACAGCAGTTTATAGACTGCAAGCTACCCTCTTCACAGATTTCTTTAGGATGGTAAATACCTAAGAGATGAAGATAACCATTAACCTAAGATTACCACTAAACCATGTCCCCAAGTGCCATGTTTACATGTCTTTTAAATACTGCCAGCGATGGTGACTCTACCAGTTCCCTGGGCAGTCTGTTCCAAAGCTTGACAACCCTTTCAGATTTTCCTGTGATCCTAGGCCTACAAAACACAACCTGTATTKAGCTTTCAGTCAGAAGGCCCTGTCAGAGCCATCATCTCCAGCTCTGCTTCCCCCTGTTCCTCTGGAAGCTGACAGCAAGGGGGCTAACAGTAATTGTGCCTAAAAACAGGAGAATGAAAATATGTAAAGAATTCTCTTCTTCTAAAAGAAAACAGAAAGAAGGAGCAAGCTTCTAGATTTTAGACTGGCACTTAAGAACAATATGAGAGCATAMAGAGCAGCTTCTGAAGAACATTTTCTCTTTAGCAAACCATACCATAATTATGTGCAACTTACTCATCTCTGACTGGAAGAATGACGTGCACTGTGTCTGGGAACACCTCGAATCACTGCCAAGGAAGCTTCACAAACTCATTCTGCTGCAGCCCTTTCCCCTGGTAAAGCTCACTGTTCTGAAATCTGSACAGCTATTGACTGAAATCAGTTTTTCTTTCTTTACATAAACCCAAGGCAATGTGTGATAATGTAGAGAGGTTTTCTTAGAATTTTGAGCTATGTTCAAAATGATAAATTTTAGGAATATCAAAAAATCTGACAGGTTGTCAGCAATCATGCCTGTGTCAGAAATTTTCTATTATATCTGTTCAACTGTAAACARAATTGGATCAAACAATCCATAAACATGCTGATAGCAGGGAAATGCAAAAACGTTAAAAATTCATGAAATTCTGTTGTGACAGACAGCTTGTAGCTATTCCTTTTAAGAAACAAATTTGATTTTGGTAATAAAAAAATAAAAATAAATAAAATTAAGTGTAACTTCACACATACAATACTTAAATAGTACAACTATTTGTATTCTAGAAACTGTCAAGAAAAAAGGGCAAAYAATTTATTCTTTCAGAAGTTTCATAATGCTTCTTCTGATGTTGCCTTGACTTCTGTTYCCTGACTAAACAAAGCAATTAGTAATTGTAATTTTACAAAACCATTTTAATTTCAATTGTTAAAAATAGTTTTTATTAGTTTTATGTCTCCATGTAAATATTTTGTATCATTTTTAAATATTAGYTGCTACCAGAAGAACCAGAAAGTCATAAGCAAAACGTGTATCTTCTTACAGCATTATTCTGCATAAAATGTTAAAAATTAATTTAGGTGAATCTGTACTTTTTTTTTTACCACACATGATTACAGCAGAAAATAGAATAAAATGGACAATTAGACACATGATAAACATACCATTTGTATTTCTTCAGGTGACAACTCATCTTCACCTTTGCCATCCCCCCATAATCCAAGGTTACTCTGGGCATCAGGAAGATTCCTGTCTGTAAAAGAACCACCAAACACTTGAGACACTCAACAGTACAGGGTACTGAACAGTAAAGGCAAAATAATTTTTCATCCATGTTAAGACTGCTGATGAAATTGTTTTATCTCCTTTGTCAATTACTGAGATTCACCCTGTATTTACAGCACAAAATTACACCAATATCCTTTAATGTCCAAACTGGGCCAAAAGTCTACATGTAGGTTTAATTTTGTGAACTAAAGGGAGTTGCATTAACAGTGACAGAGAAGGATGCAAAACAACTCAAAATGTACTAGGAGTTTTTAAAACACAAAATACTTTAGTAGCTGTCTTTTAACAGATGAAAATGCACTATTTTCAAAATGACAGTGTATATGCTAAGTATTATTTTCCAGTGAGACTTGACAGAACCACCAGCTCTTCCTTTCAAAAACTAAAGACAGAATATARAAGATGTTTTGAGCAAAGCTCACAGACAAACTCGATTTTGTCATGCTGTTCAAACTTCCTTTTACAGTGCAATCCCATACCACACCATGCAAGGGGTCTTCCTGCATGTAACAGGAAATCAGCTCCAACCCCACAAATTAACCATAACACATCAAAGCTGCTTCATTCACTTCAGTATCATTTCCCCTTTGATTAAAGCTACTCATCTGCATAAATCTTTGCATGAGTTGGGGATAAAAGATCTTGGAGGGTTATTTCTGGGATATTCGCTTCTGGAAGATTTAATTTTAGGCTTAATTATATACTTCTGATTATAGAGGAAGAAGGTAGAATGGGAAAGAAAAGAAACGGTGCTAAAATAATCTATTGTTTCTGAAGCTGTACTAACATCAATGTTTAAAAACCCTGTAAGACAGCAGCCTTGAAAGAACCTCTCTTCTCCCCACTGGCTGTAACACTTTTACAAAACCCAAGAGAGATTTTTCTACCACCCCACAATGGATCAACACTCAACCTGCTCTGATGTATCCAATGTACATTGCAAATTAAAACACAGAAAGACTTAGTTTTTACTTTTTCATACATTTTAGGCTTCATATTTATCCCAGCCAATTTTTTKGCATTTATGTGTATTTAAATTTGTTTTGTTATCAATTCCTAGACTGAATTTTTTCAATTGCTTAAGCAGCAATTCAGTCATTCACAGACTGACTTCTGGGGAAGGCTCTGAAAGGAGTAGTCCTATTTATAMACACTTATATGAAAAGAGTTAAAAGGAGCAGTTTTCCCTTTTATTCTTCATYATAGTATTTGTGCAAACTCTTGAAAACATTAATATTGTGAAAGAGTATTGTGCGTGTCTCCTTTATAAATTTTTTTTGGCTTCCCAACCACCAAACCAGGATGCACAAACAATGACAAGGTTACAAATGAGGGATGTAGATAAGAAATATAATAAATTTTTTAAAACCACCCGAAAAATAGAACAGTTCTTTCTTATGAGTAATAAAATATAAATCCAAGAATATCTTTAAAGATTGTTTAGAAAGTATTCAACAATTTTATTCCATGGGGTATTATCAGTATTTCAAGTCTATTTCACAGAAACACAAAACTTATTTGTTTAGGTATTCAATGYATTTACATTATATATCAAAACTATAATAAATTATTTACCATATTCAAACAAAATAARATAATTAGTTTATGGAGAAAAAGGGGMAAAAAAGAAAAAAAMYCATATTTTATCCCAGAGGAACTAATTAGTTTCAGCACTGTCAGCACTGTTAAAAAACAGCACCTGTATCCAATGTGATTGCTAATAAGCAAACACACTTATGGTAAGAGGTAAGCAAGAAACTTGTATCTCCCCAGGGTTTCTCCTGTCACTGTGGTATGTTTTGGGCTTTCTGCAGCTTTCACAGAGCTGACATTAATGCTTTTCTGCAATTCAGCCAGCAAAAGCCAAACTACATTTCTATTTCAGAAAAAGAAGCAGTTAACTCATGACAGAGATATAAAATAATGATCAAATCCTCRGAACCTTTTTCCATGCTGAAAGGAGACAGCTGCTAAGCTTGTGAACCAGTTCAAAAGCTACTCATTATTTACATTTATTTCCATAAACTAAATGTCAAATTTGTAATATGCAAATAAATACTGCCAGCATATAAAAGCACTCTCTAGGGACACTCTTTTCCTACCATGAGGCATGTCCACTATAATTCTAAAGTAAACAGGTGCTTYGCCTCAAAACAAAAGTAATCACATTTTGCTTTGGTTTCAGCCAAAAAAAACAGAGAAAACCCAAGTTGTGCTTCAGCACATCAAGTAGCACATTCAGCTGTTCATCATAGTGTACAAATTAAGGGCAAGACCACAAGCTGCTCTCAAATGTATCTTTACAGATGAGATTTAACCCAAGGGACCCAGGCATGCTGATGATGGCTAATTCATAAAAGCAAATTATCACTATTCTCTAAACCACCAATGCCCTGAGAATGAAATAGCTTATTTCAAAATGCAAACATTTCTCCAGTTTCTTAACATTTTGAAAAGTTACTTGGAAAAAAAAATACTAATGAAAGGCTGTAAGATTCAAACTGAGCTTTTTTGTTTCCTACTCATCTCATTCATGTTATTTTCACACTTCGACAACCACCTACCAGCAAAGTCACAAGACTGATTCCTATAAGCAGCAGCAACCAGCACTTACCCTTATGTGAGGAATCACAGGCTGTGTGTATTTGTATATTGTTCCAGACAGATTTGTTTTGATATACAAGTTCCATAGTTTTCTCAAAGTCTAGTCAGCAGCCCTTTCTAGGTACTGCAGCAGCACCACTTGTGTGGCAGGACCCCTATTTTTCAGAAAAATTAGAGCGAAATCTCATAAAAGCAAGCACTAGAGTAAACAAAACTAACATGCAAAAAAAAATAGCTGCTTTTCTATTTATTGCAGTGGTTTGCTGTGTCCAAGGCAACCAAAGAACAGTATTTTCCATGRAGTGCCACAGATTTTTGGAGCTAAAAATTGTAATGACACTATGTGGTGGGAGTGCACGCTTCCAGAGATTGCAGAGACATTTGGTAACAAGGAGAGAGCACAGGGCAATGAAGATGCCACTATGCTGCTGCTTTTCCAGTGGCAGCAGCTCACAGCTGCAAAACACTGATAACAGGTTAAGGTGAAACTCATCTATGAGCCTGTGTGCTGCATCACTTATAACACACTATAAAAAGGTAGCAAGCACTAGAAATGGCACATAATCAAAACCTGTACTTCTTACAATAAATTYAGTGTCAGGGGGGAGAAAAGGCACACTGATAGGGCTGCACAAGTACAAACTGGTTAGGAAGATAAGCAAAGCCATTATCAGGAGATGAAGCCATTCGCACACTGTGAGGTAATTCAGTGTTAGAGGCTTCATCCAGAAGTGGAGTACCCACTTCACATGAATCCACCTTCGGTATAGCCCTGGATTCACCAAAGAGAAGAATTTCACTCTTTTAATATAAATCACTAAAGAAACAGCAACTGTTTATCAGAATAATGTGGCCAACCACTGCATTTATTTTATCCTGATGAAGTATTATGCCAATGTAATGTAAGTAGAAGAAAAAAAATTCCTGCTGTAAATCACTGGGTACCTTGGTCTCCTCTAGACAGCACAAGTGGGAGAMCTCAAGCCAGGGAAAGCAACTCCAGAATCAGAGAGACAAAATTTCTCTTTAGGCATGAAACCTGAAATTATCTGCATAGTGATGGTACTCAAAGCTCTGCCAGCGTACACATCCCAGGACAGGCTGAAATAGCTAAGGAATTAAAATGGTTTCTATCCCTTAGCCTGAGAAGCAGACAACCAAAGAATGAGAACCCATGTTCACAAATTCTGTCAAGATCTGCACCATCTGAAATGACCCCAGGGTCAAAGATACTGCTTTGGACTTCTKGCTACCTCCTGACCACTGAAAGATGAGATGCAATCCTCCCAGCAGGGAAACATAGTGCTGTCAAGAAGAAAGCCCCAAACTACTGATCTGGCCAGCCAATAACCTCCTCTCTGTGAGCATATTCTACYTTCAAATTCCTGCTGTAGAAGTGTCCAGAAGTGTCAATGTTTCTGTGCTTAAAAACTACAAAATGTTCCCAGAGAGTCTTTGACCTACTTTCTAATTCCTTGCATTCAGTGAAAGGAATATAGAAATATCAGACCAATTTCAGAAGGGATGATATTGATACAAATAAAAGAGTTCATAAAATAGGTTATTTTGAGGATGAAGAATTCAGCAAAGCATGATACTTGTTAGGCTGACATGTCAAAAAGTTTTTGCTTCTTCAGTCTCACAATATACTTTACAGAAGCCTGATCAACTCAAGGAATATGAAAATAGAAAAGGTGAAAGTCACAACAATTGGCCCTTCTAATATGAACGAAGTACTATTGACCAGACAAGTCTTGCCACAAAATGTAAAATGTAACTACGTATTATTTTTACCTTTGCTTTCTTCAGCAGAAAGTTTTTCTTCAGAATCATCTAAAGGACTCTGTGAAGATTTTTCAGGGGAAAGAGGTGATTTGGACACATTGCTCTGCTCAGGTTCAAGTCTGGACCTAGAAGAACAAGAGCCTATGGTTTAACTGATAGCCAAAGTATTTTTCTAAAACGAAAACAACCAAAGATTACTAAACTCAATACTTTAACTCTTGCAAACTTCACATTAAAGGTTTTCCAGTCAAGGTACAAAATGTACTTAGCAACTGTCACTGAAATATTGTTACAAAGGCAAAAAAGCATGAATAGTATTCCTGGAAAAAATGCACCACATCCTCAGAGTTGAAAATAGAGCATAAAAATATAGACACTTTATTAAACTTCCTTTCAAAAATCCAGTGTATTAATTTTTTTAAGTCAATTTTTAGTGGCAATAGCCAACAACTTCTTTATTTTGTTTAAATAATAATGACAATTTTACCTTATGTTTTTACCATAAAGGAAAAGTAAGAAAATACAATAGAATAACTTTTTTATACTACTTCTAAGTCCCTATTAAGTAATTCTAATACAAAGGCAAAGCAAAGGAGAAGTTTATTCAATCACTATATATTAAGTACTTGCCAAGTATGTCTCAGTGTGGCATCAAAAAATGTTGAAAATTAGTAGCAATGTATTTTTTTCAGCAGATTTCTGTGGTTTATTGCTGTCTACAATTAATTCTGTAACTGCTACAYAGCAGACAGTTAAATATTTAGCAATGCTATTGGAGAAGGTAAAGAACCAAAAAACCAAAAAGCAATGGGTGGAATCACTTGCTGTGCCATTTCTATCACTTCCTACCCTCTCAAATACCATCAATAGTTAATCTCATTATGATTCCCAATTYTCCCCTGTGCCTAACAGAAGGTGTTGTATTTTGCACTCCTTTTTAGCATGGTGTTTAAATTCTAACCCATAATTAGAAAACTCAGCGAAAAACAGAATATAATGCAATAGTCATCACTGAGTGTTGCTATTTAACAAGGAAAAACAGTAGCAGGGAACTTTTTTTAGTTATAAAACCTCTGCAAGTACTGGACTTTTGGTAAATTTACAGAGAATAACTCCCCTCACCTTCTCCCTCTAAAATTTGCATAATAATAATAATGATAATCATAATAATAATAATAATAATAATAATAATAACAATGATAATAATAATAAACTTATCTACATGTCTATGCAGTTCAAATAATAGCCCTGATACTAATAAAACACCAATTCCCTAGGTAACAAAAATATCAGCCTGATTTGAATAATTGCATACATAATTCACAAAATCTTCTAATGGAAAAAGATGTTTAAAATTGAAATTAAATAGAATCCTGAATACCAATAAACATAAAAATTGAAAATCACAACCAAGTACCTTTACAGAAAAAAAATCTTAGTGTTTATATTTCTCAGCTCTTCTTTCTGGGAAACTAGTCCTAACCAGCAGAACTTTTTTAATCAAAAAATGTGAGTTAATACATAAAGGCAACTTCTGTAAGAAAATTATAAGGCTCAGGCAATTTATTGAGGAGCTTAGGATAGTTATCAATATAAAAGGAAACATGATGAAATGTATTTCTACTGCAGACTTTTCAGTATTGTCTGATATGCATATATTTTAAATTGACTAAACTGCAGAAGAGCTGCACTAGGATTAWTTTATTTCTAAAGAAACATATTCCTTTATTGTTTGGTGTGCTTACTTTGCACAGTGTGGGAATGCAGGAGACTTTCAATTTAAAATGAACAAAGTGTCTGGAATGCATTGTTTAAAAAATGCCTAGTTCTTTTAAGAGAAAGTACACATTCTTATCACACAAAGCATCTGCTGAAATCCTCAGGGGAATTACAAATCAACTATACTGCTTTTCTTTAAGTCATAATAAAGATTGGGTTATGCCCTGTGATTTATTTAAATMGAATTTGAATTTAAATGACAATTTAGCCATTACATCACATTTGCAATGCATACAGACTCCACCTGGTCAACATCTGTTTTCCAGTTCTTACATTCATCAAGAGAGGCAAAGAAGGACCCTCCAATACTGCATAAAAACAATGTACCTTCTGGGTTAATTCTCAATGCCTTATTGCTCTTTAATTAAGTGGTATTCCAACTTCTGAAATAACATATCAAATTGAGTTTTTTTTCTCTGTTTATTCATCTGAGAAATCCTGAACCTGGGATTTCACATAGAAACAACTTATAGAAGAGCTAGTATCATTAACCACTGCTATGGCTGCAAGAACAATGCTAGAATAACCTCTTTCTTTGAGGTCCTTCCACATGAAGACTACTGATAAGGTTCTGTATTTTTACACATGAAAAATATAACAGTTTGTTTCTGTATGGGTTTCTTTTTCTGGAAAGTTAGAGGAGCTACAAAAATACCAATGCCTTACTTTTATCTCATTACTTCTTACAAAATTTCAGAAGTGGTTTGGGGTATTTTGTTTTTTAGGTTTTAGCTTGTACTACTATTTATGACTCATGAGGATATATTTGAGTAAATCTAATTGAGCTTAATCATGCTAAATCATTCTGAATAAAATTTACTTACGAACTTTTGAAAACATCTCTGGGTTCAATGTAACTACAGCTGATCAAGCCAAACAGCAAACTCATAAATCAGCATCAAGTTTTGGAAAAACACTCAAGAATTACACTAGAAATATAACAAACACTAGAAATATAACAAACACTAGAAATACAGATTTTAAAATTTGAAGGTTTGAATTTAGGTTGAGGTTACTATTCAAATAATGCAGAATGAGAAGACATGGAAAACCTCCCAGGTATTAAACAAATTACAAACCTGCTCATTTCCTGGCTTATTCTCACAATTGGGAGTATGCAGAAAGGGAAACTGAAGAAGTAAGAGTTTTTTCAGACTTTTGACTGAAAAAAATCCCAACAAGCACATCACCTTTAACATCTCCTAGACATTTTCAGCTCTACATTAGCAGCCTTTCTGTGTACCACTCTAGGAAGTGSAAGCTCTTGTTTCAGTTCAGAAGTTACATTCTATTTTTTTTTATTTTCATCATGTTTCTGCTTGCCAGGAACACCTGCCAACTCAAGTAGTATTTATTAACAACAGTTACTTGCTTTAGCAGAAATATAGGAGCTTTAAAAAAAGCAAAAAAAAAAAAATTGGCAAATTTGTAGAAGTCAAATAGGTTTATTAACMCACATTTCATTGATTTGGTGCTTTCATCCTTTATGCAAATGGCAAGTATTGGCACTTTGCCATTTCCAGACCTAACTTCATATGCCCAACGTGTAAAGAGACCTGCTGACAGCAGAAGTTGCTCATCCAACCACATATTTCTATCAAAACAACCTCCTAGAATCTAAACACGAACAATCGTTTTGTTGAATGTGCTACCAGTGAAAGGCASAGTTAAACTGTTTTTTGACATTACTCACAGTCTCTTCTTATCTATCACTCGCTTAACTCGGATGGCTCTTTGTTCAGAATACAGCTTGCACACTCCTGCTCAAGAAAGAAGTAAACAAAATTTTAGGTTAAAAGAGCAAGATTCCTTTCTTGAAAAATCCAATCATTAATTTTTAATATTCAATAAATACTAAGTACTTTTTAAGTAATCTTCAATGAAGTCCAAGACAGCTGTTCTGTGCTCCTTTACCTGAGCAGACTGGACATCCTTGTGTGCTGAAATACAAAAAGAAGATATGAGACAATCTTTTAACTTTTTACTGAATTCCACAAGACTTTGCACTTTCAGTTAATATTCAAATTCAGTTACATTCAAAAGCCTACTCACATTTTAYATATGTTATATATTAGTATTTCTTTTAAACATAGCTATATTTAGATACAGATTCTCTAAAAGAGCAAGTCATTACAACAAACAAAACCTGAAAATAATTAGTGTCTTACAGTATTTTTATAMCATGCTACAGAGTTATACTACATCAATTAAACTTCTAAACAGAATAGGTGTCACCTAGCTATGCACAGCAAAACCAATCTACAGATTTAACTTGCTTAAAATATTGAACTTGTTCAAATTCTCCAGCGTATAGACTACGTGCAAATATTTGGGATTTATTGTGTCAAATAGTCTTTCAATTCACACATTGATTTTTACTGTTTTCCTGTAGTACCCATGCATGACTGACTTTCAGTGCTTCTGAATAATGCTGTAGCTATGTTGAGATGGGATTTTGAAACTGATRAAAATTTTCTGTGTATTGATAAAATACAGAGATACAGCAAGTYAACTTGAAAATGGCAAAACAGAAATTCTCTCTCTATGACATTCACAAGATATTGTAATAAAGGTATGATCCCATATTCAAGTTGTCAAAAATGCTTTTAATATACCAGACCTCTGCTATTTAATTGTCTCAAACTAGGAAGTATTATGCCTGTAATACCTTACAGGTAGAYAAGCTATAAAAAGACAACCATCACACTTAGAGCACTTTGGTTTAGGCCTCTGTGCCAGTGCTGAATTACTACTCAAGTAGTATGTATTTAAGACTCTTTTTTACATTTGTTAACTGGTATATTTGAATAAATAAGTAAAATTCTATGCTCTGGCTTCTCTTTCCACTATCATTAAAGAAAATGAAGGACAGTATTAATCAGCCAACAGGATTACACAGATGGAAAGAAAAAGGCAATGAGAATTCACCAATCTCTTTCCTAAAGCATTTCAGATTCACTATGCAATATTCAGCATTATCTTAGCCTTTATCAAGAATTAAGAAAAAACATGTAAGAGCTGCTTAATTTACCTTCTGTTCTGAGCTGATGAATGGCATCAGCACATGTTCTCATAAACACCTGAGCATCTTGATCTATCTGGTCACGCTCTGTGTCCGTCATCCTCCCATATTCAGACATAATATGGCTGAGAAACAAAACAAACTTGTCACTTAAAAAATCCCCAACATAAAATCCACAAGTACACACCTCAGACCTTCTTCTGACTCACCATCTTTGCAAAAACTTTTCTGCAACACYGATTTTCACAGAAAAAGTAGTAAAAATTATAGTAACTACCAATAAATGCCACTCTAAGTAGTTGGGAGAGTTTTTTTTTAGAACACTTTTACTAGTAAAGTGTGTAGAAAAAGCAGTATCTCCCCTCACTTTGTACATAATCAAATATGGAGCAGAGAAGGAGAAAATACAACTAGAAAATATAATATTGCCCTCCGTACTTGTTCCAATGAAGTGTCCTAAAAACATAAAACCAATTAAGATAAAAGAATAGCTCAAACACTGAAAGTACAAAAAAAAATAGAACTTCCTTTTCTTAAACATGTTTTCATTATTCTAAACACAGTGYTTCATTTTAAAAGTAGCCATACTATGAAATCTGTGAATTCAAGCTAGAGGAAGAATATGGGAMAATTTTAATATCAAATTGATTGCAATATTTATTAAAACCTGTTGCCACTGTTTAWTTCTATTTTAGATTATATATAGTATTTTCTAATGCTATTAATATWTCTTTTCATTGCCAAAATAATTAAAATGGATGCCTGTYTTTAAAACACTGACTCACTGTAGATAAACACCAGAAAAGCAAACTGTATAAAGGTGTTTAACAGTGCTTCCACAGCCATAGGTGACAGGATGATAAAACTCTCTACAGAAAGAAAAAGTTAATCTTGGATTTCCTGATGATACAGTGATCGCAGCCTATTATTTCTGCTTTTTAAAAGAGGAAAGAAAACCTTAGCTCATACCTGCATTTTATTTATTACTTCTATATGAGAAAATTMTGTGTAATTACACTGCATCAATGCAGTAATACAAGTAAAAAGAGAGGATCTCCAATATTTAGCCTGATACCCTTAGAGATCTCTCACACACTTCATTGCAATAATGCCAAAACTCCCCTGTGTTTGCTGCAATCCTGGCCACAGGAATGGCCACAACCAGTTCACACAACCCCATCCCAACAACTCTCATCCTACACAAACCCATCAACTCCTTCCTGCATCATCAGTATACAGCAAGCCTGGGTCCAGATCTCCTCCACAAAGCTTTAAGTGTACTCTAAAGTCCTTAAGTATTGTATCACAATCTCTTCAATCCCATCCCATATTACTGGTTACATTTAAAGAATCAGCACATGGTTTATCTGGCTTGAAAATTAGTTTCTTCTTATTGGTCACCTATTACACAAGTACAGATCAGCAATCAAACAGTACAACAACCTAATTAGAAGTAATACTCAATATTTTATGCTTCCAAAACTGCCATATATTTGACATCTAACTATCAGGGCTTTTTTAGACCTCTGGTCAAAACTATTTGAAATATCACACAATTACTTTTTATTACCTAGAGAAAATCAGCCATATGTAGTGTTYCAATTTATCTTTTAGTAGCTGAATTTCCCTCCTTTAGTCAGGACAGATGGATTATATAAATTTGTGGCAAAATCCCTATCACAGCTGTAATCAGTGTTTTTCTAAGCTGTAACTCTAATTCACACTATGAAAGCAATTTCTGAATGATGAAAGATTATAAATTGCCAGATTTCAGAAATATCTGRTAAGAGAGGATTTCCTCAATCTGGCTAGGATGACATACTGGCAGTTACAAATGCCATATAAGATAACTCATATTGTTAAATATATCAGGGCAGATCAGTCACCCACTTCCATTGCACAGCCTGTATAGGTATTTTTGTTACTAGTCTGTTGGGCACATGTAAAGCCAGGAAATCATTCCTACATCCATCTCCACATAGGCCAAGAGACAAGGGGACCATTAAGATCATGGCATAATGCATAATACCTTTCAGAGAGCTCCGCCTAGAGAGTTACTTGAGCATGCTGGGGCACACAGATTTAAGTGGGAAATAAGGATGGAGTAATAGCTGCATGATGGCTCCTTGATGAAGAAAAAAACTCCACTCTTCTATTTCAGMTTACAATAATAAATTCTGGCTAGTCTGCTACTGAACAGGCTTTAAAGTTCTTGTCTTTATAAGTCTATGCTACTGTACCCTTCCCAGCTTTGTGGTATTTGCAGAGTTCTACATTTTCATGCACTTCTTAGCATAAGATGGTAAAATACAAACTACAAAATAAAATCAGAATTTTCTTTTAAATCAGACTTAGAAATACATATGAAAAAGCTTGCCTCAGGCACACTTTATTTATTACTTACAGTTTAACTAGTGGTAGTGTAGCGATGCACTGAGGATAATTACAACAGATAATTACAACACTGGGAAACAAGTTGTTAAGTTACTTTTCCTAGTTGCTCATAGAAAAACAGGGTGGATCAAATTCTTAAATARGAGTTTCACAGCTTCAAAGCTAGTAAAATGCAGCTTAATCCAGCAAACAAGAAACAGAATACTTTTCCTTTTACAACTGCTTACAGCTTACACAGCGTCTGGTGCCATGGCTTTTGAACATGAGCTGGTCAAGCCACTCAGGGGGAAGGATACCTGAAACCCAACCTCCTTGGGAAGGCAAGAATGGAGTCATAYAATCACATTCATTATGTCAAAACACATATGGCATCCACTAGTACAGCGTACTGAAGTCCCCACTGCACTCCCTGGYAAATCTGCACATGGAGATTATACTGAAAATCCATTTAATCACCACCCTCTACCRGAAGAGGAACCGCTCATTAAAATAAAACAGGCCAAAGAAAACCAAAACCACATAAAAACATCAAACAGAAAACAACAGAACAGAAAAAGCCATCCAGCTGTATCTGGTATGTCAGAGATACAAATAAATACTCAGAAGTGCAGTGGCAGTATCACAGCACTGGACTGATCCATCACTAAATCAAGAAGGGCCAAGAAAATCAGGTTGTTCAGAAGCAATCAGAATCATTAGCCAACACATGCACAGATAAAGAAGGGAGAAAGAAGGAAAATAAATTCCTCTGAATTTTCATCCTTGTCAATATGAGAAAACTTCACAAGAAACATGGGCTGGAGGGGAACTTCCATTGCCTTTCCTTCCCTCCCATTGTATTCCACTGGAAGACATTGACCATCAAGTAGGCAGACTGCATTAGACTAGAAAATGAGTGGGTTAAATTGCAAAGAAAGTGCAAACCTAAAAAGGAACAGTAAAGAATTCAGATGAACTAGTAGTTTTCATATAGAAATTACATTATTGACAATTTGCAATTCTGCCCTTGATGAAGAGTAGGCAATACAGTGAGAGGTCAACTGAGATTTGTTGAACTCAAACAGAAAAATCAGAATACGAAGTGCAAATTAGTTCTGATTTCTACTGACAAGTCTAAAGGAACGCAGCATGCAGGGACACACTCAGAAAAAGGTCAAGTGCAGGATGAGACACAACTGGGAAGGGATGCCAATGATAACAAGAGACAGCTCTGCAAACATTACCTTAAGAAATACCTAAGAATGTGGTCTGGGCTTGCTACTCAGAAGAGAAGTAAAATTATATGCAGAGTATGAATTAATTGTAGATGTTTATTGCTTTGTTTTGGGATCTTTTGCACTAACTTCCATCATTAATGTCACTTAAAAGCTGCAGTTACTATTCCTTTTAGCTGACTGCTTCTAAATCATGTGGGCCAAATTTAAGAGCTGTGTGAACCAGGTCATAGCACAAGTGTAACAAGTGTACCTGAAGGTGCAGTGGCTCCTGGGACAATGCTGAAGGTAAACTTGAAGAAGTACATATCCCTCCTATCTGTGTGACAAAGCTGTGCTCTTGAATGGAACTAACCAACTTCCAAAAAAGCCCAGGATGTATCACATTCATACAGTGTGAAGAGACAGGAGATCGAGCCCTGGAATAAAACAGGAAATGCATCAAATGACAGGATGTATCCTCACTGCCAAGAACTAGGAGAGAATAAGCAAATGAGAGATAAAAAGATGAAGGTTAGCAACTAWCTTCAAAAATAGGGTTAACGGGGAAAAAAAAAGCAGAGGACTTGTAGACCACTCTGCCTAGAAAAATAYAGGAATAAATAAGTAAAATTCAAGCACTTAGGAAAGAACAAAAAGATTACCAGTAGTCAAGATGTGTCAGTAGTACATCACAGGCAGTGTAATTTACTGCTGGAATACAGTAATAGGTCTAATGGATGGATAACAAGCAATCATGGCTATATTTTAGTGTGTCTTTTGTTACCATCTCATGTAACATTCTCACAAGCTACCAGTGAATAAACAAATTAAAAGAAATAMGCACCATAYGAATGTGAAACTGCAAAATTGAACTTGGGGATAGTTATATACCAAAGCAGAAGGAAACACTGAGTTGTTTTCCACAGGATTTTGTCCCAAATCTGATGCTATTTAATACTTTCAGTAACAACTCAGCAGAATGGAGTATACACTTATGAAACTTGCAGAGGCATAAAGTTAAGCAAATTAAGACTGTATCAAGAGAACAGGACTTCAATTCAAAACAATACTGCCTGGAGAAATGAAACAAAGCATTTGAATAAGGAATGGTCAGAAGCTCTTCGCTGCACCAAGAGCAATTATCTGAATCCACAGAGAATGGGGAACAACTGATTAGAGAACAGTTCTTCAGAAAGTCATCTGGGAGCATATTGGAACATAAACCAAACACAACAACAACAACATGTTGTTGCATAAAAAGTCATYATTACAACACAATAGATTATCCTAGTAACATGGATAGGGAGAAAGGAAGAAGCAGAGTGGGAATATGAAATCTTCACTGAAAGAAATATTTAAAAGCAAGCAAACACCAGTCATTCTCTTTTTGGACGTTCCAGCCATGCTCCTTCCAGCCTAGCATTTCTGTGATCCATTTTGCTGGCAAAGCACAAGGAAGCAAAGCCAATGTTACATCAGCTTTGGAATTAGTAATTCTGCTGGTGCATAAAACATCTTCTGCTCACTACTCCAATAAAGATTACAAATCAAAAAGAAAAAATGGATTTCCCTACAACAGTGTATTAYAAAATAGAGAGAAGCAGTAAGAGGAAATAAATCAGTTGTAAAATAATAAAGATATGCCCAACTTACCATCTGCAGATACCTCCCTCCAAATCCATATAAAAATACTCCCCATGTATTAAGTGCACATACATGTATGTATAACCTCAGCAGCAAATACAGCAGTTACATTCTTCCATCTGGGAATCTAGTATACCTTAAATTGTTTGATTTCTTATTTAACAAAGCTTTGCGCATTTTCATTTACTGCCTTGTTCCATCTAAATGCTGTCTAACATAAAAGTTCTTTACTCAAATGACAAAGCATTCCACAACAAACTTTATATAGCTTTTTTAATTCTGTGTGGAAGCTTCAGCTACTAGAATAGGCAGTACATGCAYACCTATATTAGTATTTTCAGTTTTGTAAAATATTGCTGAGAAAATTCCAGAATGCTATTATGAAAAATTACTATTTCTGAAATGTAATGTATAAATTTAGTGCAATTAAAAAAAAAAAAAAAAAGGAAGATAAATAATTTGAAAATAATTCCCTGGAGAACAGAAAAATATACTCCTCCAAGAAGAAAATCTTTTCAGATCATCTACATGTTTTACTACCTCACTGTAACAAATGTGATTACATACTTGTATGTAGCCTGGCATTGTACAGGAATCAGTAAAACACTATTTTTAGAGTCCTTTAATAGCTACTTCTTTTATTGTTAAATACAAGGAAACACCCTCCACAAAACGCTGTGTAAGCATTCAATGATTTTCTATTAAGTGGCAAATGATATAACTGATTAACTGCCTTGAGACCGAAAAATGCTTAAGATAAATAAATKCTAGGGAGGAGGCATAATTACTGGGCACCAACATTATTTTTTAAGACAGAAAGATAATTTGAAAATAATTTTTTCAAAGTATATTATTTTCAGTTAACAACAAATGTACATTTAATTGCACCAAAGGACCACAGAAACATGTAATGAAGATACATCAAAAGCCACCCATCCAGCCTTTCTGGTGGAAAAAGTGACATTTCTATTCWGAAGCCATCTACACTACACTGATCAACTACATAAGTATCTCTGCAGTTGCAAAATACAATTAATTAGATGTCTAATAATCACAGATGGAAAGCTCTTCTCTCAAGTATTTTTCTTTTAAGTATGAGGTGTTCTGTGATCAAAATCAAGAACTCTCTCAATTCCTTTCCGATGTCTCATTAAAACAGTACGAACAATAACTGGTCTTTAAACTGCCCAACCCTTGAAAGCTCCTTCCGAGAAACTGAAGGCTGTGAAGGAATCACAAAAGGATCATTTCAAACTCCCAAGTGTTAGAGTGCTACAGCTAGTTCCTTGAACAATATTTAACACAAACATATGAACTGTCTTGGTGACTGAGTGATCAAAACCATGAAGGAGCTGATGATGAAAAGCAAAGGCAGAAGTTCACAGATGAGACATCAGACAAGTTACCAAAGACCTCTCCTAGCACAGCTAACAAGCAGTGTAGAAACACATTATAGCAAATGGACTGAGAGGAAGAATACAGAATGTACAGCAGTCAATATACTAAAARTGGGAGACCGTAAATAACAATCCTGATTTGAAAGGAGTTATTGCATAATAAGAAAAAAATGAAAAAGTATGCACATCTTGTTAACAACTTCAAGAATAAAGAGTCCCTTTCCTTTCCAGGAAAAGTGATTAACTTGTGTGCACTGGTTTTGCTTGGGAGAGAGTTAATTTTCTCCACAACAGCAAGTAGGGGACTGTGTTTTGAATCTGTGTTGTAAACAGTGCTGATAACTCAGGGATGTTTTTGTTACTGCTAGGGARTGCTTACACAGAGCCAAGGCCTTTTCTGCTTCTCACCCCACCCCACCAGTGAGGACCCTGGAGGTGTACAAGGAACTGGAAGGGAACACAGCCAGGACAGCTGATYCCAASTGACCACAGKGATATCCCAGATCATATGGCATYGTGCTCAGCATGTAAAGCTGGGGGGAGAAAAGAGGAAGCAACTGGGGATGGTGTTTGTCTTCCCAAGCCACTGTTACATGTGATGGARCCCTGCTTTTCTAGGAATGGCTGAACACCTGCCTGCCCATAGTGAATAAATTCCTTGCTTTGCTTTGCTTGTGCATCTTCTTTCCCTATTAAACTGGCTTTATCTCAACCTATGAGTTTCTTCACTCTTACTCTTCTGATTCTCTCCTTCCCACTGTGGGGGCAGTGAGCAAGCAGCTCTGTAGGGCTGAGTTGCCAGCTCATGGGGGTTAAACCACAACAAAAAAATCCTTGTCACAGAGAGCAAAAACCCCACATGTAAGAGAAAGCAAATAAATTCTAATAAACAGGAGACAATGAAAGTGCAGTGGCCTGTAAGSCAGCAAGCTTAGATCAACACATCAAGAATTCCATGTGTTTTGCCATTTACATATTTTCTAGGTAATAGTCAAATCAAGAAGAAAGAGAGTGAATAAGCAATTACTAATCCAATTTAGGTTTTAAAGTTAAATATTTAAARTTTGATAAAATAGGTCATGGTCTTGGTTTCAAATAAACCTTCTTCCAGCTGACTTGCTCATTGCTAAAAATTTTCCTCTAAAAATGAATTAAAGACACACCCTCTGTAGCAGGGTATTTCATGTATGCCAAAAATAAAAASTCCATTATTAAAGAATTTATAATCTTCCAAGGTAAGGTCAGAGAAGCAATCAAGGACCTGGATGTAACTCATCATGAAGAAGTTTTATAAGGCATACAATAATACAACTTGGTAACTCAAAAGCTCAGTTCACCAATACATTGTGCTATAGTTGGGAAAACAAATAGCAGGACTGACAAAACACAGAGCTGTAATTTTGTTCATGAAATGTGACATCTCTACATAAATTTCAGAACAGCCTTTTAGTCTTAAATTGTTCAAAAATTGTSCCCTGAAGAGTTATTAAAACTGCTGTCTTGAATCAGCGAGGTATTTGCCAAGACTGTTAAGGCTGACAGCATGGACGTTACAATGCTCTTTGCATCCATGAAATAAAACAGCACAAGTGATCTAGTACGGAATTTGACAGAACTACCTATTTTAAGTTTGACAACTAAGGACAGAATCATCTGCAATCACAGATGAGATCTGCAGGATTACTTTATGATTTACTAAGGGAAATGACACTTCTTTCCTCTCCTTAATGAAGACCTGGGTGTGAGGAGAGGAAGTTGAAAAGCATTGAGAATGATAACTTGTTGCAAAGTTACAAAAAGAACATTAAAAACCTCTGGAAATTAAAAKRACTTGGACACATTTTTACTCTAACYAYTTCCATTTCRTGCACACTACTGTTAATAAAATACAAACACTACCCAAATTTAACTGCYACTGACTGTTCTTACTGCAATTATTTGCAGTTTCTCAACCTCTGCACACATACAGTTTTCACACACTACACCCAGTTATGTCAGTATTAAATTGCTGGCTCCACCTAGTGTTCTTCATGCCCTATTCCTATTCCATCATAACACAGAGCTCTGCATTACCTCTGCTCACTCCATGGAGAAGCATCCCTCATCCACCTCACACACAGAACTGTGAACATTCTGAGCTTCATTTTCACCAGCACTGACTATGAACAGCTCCCAAGGCCTTCTCATTTATAAAATAAACAGTCTTCCCTTTTTTTGTTTCATTTTCAAAACAACCAAACACAGCTTTTAAAACCTTGTGGAGATAAAAAGGGTGCCAGAAGTCTTCTGGTTACCAAGTCAGAACACACTTTGATTCCATATTGCTATTACTGTGACAGTCGCTTTCAGCCTAGAAGTTTCTCAGAAAAACTGTTCCTCCGATATGGACTAAGCCTAATGAATAGGAGATGGCTCATCTATTCTTACTGTCTTTTCCTGGGGAAAGGATATCTGTCTGGGATAACACTTCTGTTTGGTATCTGTGAAGCTTTTAACCCAAAATGATTTTAGGTTGCATTTATCTACCCTGATTGAAGCAGCACCTCAGCTTTAGTCAGGGCTGTGTCAGAATTGGAATGGAGACAGGGCTGACTCACACAGCTTGCATGTAACAAAGTTTCATTATAAAGCAAGTGTTACATTTCCCAAATGATACAATTAGATGCAGTCAGTTCACCAAACTACAAGTTGCAGTAACATTCAGATCTTAGAATAACTTTATTTAGTATCTGCAGACCAGAAGACACTAATTTTTTCTTAGAAGCACCAACCTGTAAATTTGCATTTTAATGTCTTAGAAATCCTTAATCTTAGATTCAGCAAGTAAACTGATAAAGCAGTTTTGAATGCTTCCTAGTGGCTGAAGAGAAGCAAAACTTTCTTCACACCATAATAACTACCAGAGCTGAAGCCTACAGTTTTCATAATAGAAAAACAAACCTTGTGCTGCTGTGCCCTGACAGGGTCTCCTCAATGGTGTCCTTCATCTGGAATTCATATTCCAGAGCCTGAAGTTTGCATCATTATCCTCCAGGACCTGCTGACACTACTGATCATATACTTCATGATAACAGGTAGGTTTAGTGTCAAGAGTCAAAGGGAAAACCTGATCACTCTGCTGTCTCAGGAACTTCTCCAGAAACTTACTCTGCAGGTACTTAAAAGGTGTGGGACTTCAACTGCCAGGTAGTTTTTTTTCAGAACTCACTTCTAAGAGCCAAAAATCATCTTAAGATTTGGAGTCTTATTTTATTCAGGCAAACTGTTTCCTTGTGACAGCACTATTCTTCATTTTATAGTGGTTTACAATRAGCCAGTTAGTAATCTCTGATTTGGTTTTAGTCATTATACTTAAAGTTTTTTAAGCTGTTCACTTTATAACCATTAATACAGATATATAAATAAATGAATAGATAAATCCATTTAAATGCAGTGCACACTTACCTGTAAGCATTAATGTAATCCTTTCTATGTTGTAGAAGAAAATCTTTTAGCTTTCCAATATGAGAAACCTAAATGAACAGAAATCATAATTAAATTTCAGGAAACTGATTATTTTATGTTTAAAGTTCAGTATTCTGCACTTCAAATGTAAATGAATAAAACTTTTATTCTATAATTAAAGAGAATAATAAAATGTATAGAATTTTTGCATTTTCCAAGCAGTCAATACATAAAAATAATCTAAAAAGGATCTGTTGTATGATGGGCCAGCTTGGAGAACAGTAGTAAAAATACATGTCTTCTTCCCAAAATGCATAAACAGTAAATGTAACTACAATATTAAACATGATTACACAAAACATTATCTAATTGTCAATCCAGAATTTAATGTACGCCTGGGAAATAAATCCATTTTGGAAGACCACACAAGAAATTTTTAAACTACTGATAAGATATACATATTCAAGTTCAACTATTAAAGCTTGTAGGGCAAGGTACTGACCCTCTCCCTTCTAGTTTTGCCACAATACTGTGATCACTTGGTGCCCAAACTAAAGTAGTATCTCTGTCATCTGATAATCATTAGTAAGGCTTGCCAGAGCATATGTCCCAATTAAATTTCCATTTGTGGATTTCCATCTCACTCTGGATAACTTTTACTGTAAATCACTTTATTCTCTTCCTTAAGAAATCTTTCCAAAGATATTTTGGAAAGCTGAAAAAAAAATTTGAAACAACCTCAATCTAATTAAAAAGATTTGGTACAGCATAAGATGCTGCTTATTTTAGAGAAAGGAGGAAGTACAGAAGTGTAGCTTAATTCRCCAGATAAATGAGAAGACATGATGGGAAGGGGGAAAAGGGAGGAGAATTCTATACATTAGCAGTATGTATTTTCAGAGGCAATTGGTGCAAACCTTTTCAAACTATATTCTCAAATATTAATTAATAAATCAGCATTTAAAAAACATGCAAGGAAATCTGCAAAACAGTAATTGTTTTAGTTTACAATAAATACGGTTTACTCCACGTATCTGGGAAAAAGCATCAGAAACTGTTYAAGTCTTAAAATCCTATTTTCATGYAAATGATCTTTGCAATYAAACAAACAAAAAAACCCACAGAGAAAGAACACAGAATAGTTTGGATAAATAGAAGATTAATTCCCCCAATTATTTTTTGTCAAAAGTAGCTCTTTGAAAAAAAGTACATGGAAAAAAATGCACTTAGTAAGACCACAGTAATTTGTACAACTCAAGATAAGTGTTTCCTTGTGCAAATAAATAGGCACCCATTTCCCTATTATTATTTGTTTCAGTTTTACTACAATTGGATAAGGATTTTCCCAGTTTTCATGTTTAAAGTTTTCTGTGTGAGTAACACAGGAAATTTTATCCCATTCACAGCAAACTGAGTTCTGYCAGTACCTTCAGGAGATCCAAAGTTTCCTAAAGTGTGTTAGCACCATTATACACAGTAAGAATGGAAATACTGCAACTGCTACAAGACCAATRAGGCACAAAGAGTAAGCTAAACCATTCTACAGATGTTCTTTCTCATACACTTGTATTTATTATCTGTACAGTAATCTCTTCCTCAGCTCAGACTTTGTATGTCATGAAATTTTCTGAATAGGAAAATCAAGCTTGAGTACGAAAGCAAAACATTTRAAACAGTTATACAGCRTTTCAGTGGAACAATAATACTTAAYAGGCAGAAAGAAAGTAATACAGAGGACAAACCAAATGTGAAATAATAAAAGTTTCAAAACATTTACATTAATACACGAGCAAACACTAAACTAGAAAATAAATCAGCAAAATTTTGTAAGCAATAAATCTTAATATTACTGCAAAAGCTACAATTTAGGAGTGATTAACAAGCAGAAAGAATCAGAATGACAAGCAAGAACACTGTCTTACAGTAATTAATTCATCTAGCCACAAAGAGCATTCTATTTAGGCTAAAATTGTCATCATGTGTTTGAATTGCACTGACCCCACTTTGCCTCTCCTTCATTTGTAAAGCTATTTTCATGAATTTAGAATGACACCATTATGCCCATACTTGCATCAAGCTCTTAGTTCCCAAGATTTGCATCAGAAGTGAGACTTCTTGTTCTAGTTTCCCTCAAATTCTAACAGCATCTTCTGCAATTCTGTCTGCACTGCTATTTTTTTGCCTTTTCTTACCATTTACTACTGGCACAGCTTCAAATTCAATTTRTCATAACTATACCAACAAATTTAGCACTTTTTTATTAAAAACAAGGTCTCACTAGCATTAAAGGGAGGCAATGTTAATTTTATTTTTAAAAATTGATTGGGTTTTTGTTGCATGATGCTTGATTTTCTGTAGACACAAAATATACCTGATGATACAAACATAAACTTTGACTATCTCCAGGGTCATGAATCTGCAATTATTCTGTGGTTATCAGAGGCTCACCATACACTCTACAAAATTAYCAAGATCCAGCCTAAATGTAATAAAGCTTCTCCCTATTGAAACTGAGCAGTTTTATTAGAATCCTATTGCTCTTATTACAAATAAGAACTTGTCTAATTTCCAGGTTTACTGATTACCAATATCTATCCATCTGTTCTTGCTTCAAAATGGTCCTTCCCCTTAAAAGCTCAGCTTCCCTGCATGTATGTTTGGCTTTACTGTCAGGAATCTATCTATCTATCTATCTATCTATCTATCTATCTATCTATCTATCTATCTATCTATCTATCTATCTATCTATCTATCTATCTATCTATCCATCTATCCATCTATCTATCTATCTATCTGTCTGTCTGTCTGTAACTTTTGTAGCCCAGACAAATTACCTGAAGATTTCAGTTCCTTCACCAAAGAAGTTGCCGACCGCACAGCTTTCATTTGCATTTGTTCCAGTTTGAATCCATCCCTTTCCAATGTAACTGACAACAAACACTTTCATTGGTGTTGGTTACTTTGTAACTATTTCTGCTGGAAACACCTTTTTTTTCTACTCTTTTTTTCTAGTTCCCACTACATACCTTGCTTTTACACCACTGGTCCATGACTTTTTCCTTATAAATTTAGTCCAGAGTCCATGACTAAACGATTCTTAATCTATACTCCAGTTGCATGACAAATCCACATTTTTTGCCAATTTTCTTTTTATTAAAATAGCTAAAGAATATTGTAACTTTAAGAAGGTTTTAATACCATTAGTAAATCAACTGTGAATTTGGCCAAACCTAACTTTATCTCTGGAAAGAAGTCTTCCCTTTTGCAACTTTTCTTGGCCAGTCTGTCTTTCTCACGCTGCTTTTCACTGCCTCTGGGATAATTTTTTGCATCTTCTCTAATTAATCTTTCAAGYAAATCTAGCAGAAATTTTAAATCCCACTTGCATTTCAGCACATCCATTTTTCTACTCCATTTACCCATCCATCATAACTGCAACTTCCAATTTGCTCTATATACCTGTTTTCAAAACATTTATTCCACCAGCTGACACAGGTATCAAAAAGATAAATGAAAGCAATTTGAAGAAGCACAAACATAACTGAGTATTTGGCCTCTCATCATTCTCTGCATCTGGAAATGGTCTATCTTTTTCTCCAAAAGTCTGTAGCAGAGCAGTAAGCCTTTCCTTCAACTCTGAAATAAAGAAATTATTTCCTTCTTTCACCACCCTTTCCTGCAGGGAAAGGAGGGCTCAGAGAAAGGCCCTTCACAGTTGCAACACTCCTGCACTACATTAATACACAACTTATCTTACAGGGAAGAACACTGCTAAATTTCCCCAGATAACTGAAATTCTAGCTTTATAAGTATAGCAACAGCATCTTCTTGAGCTTCTGTTCACTACCAGAATATGGAGGGTTATGCTCCTTCTGAAAAGAAGACCATTTAGGAAACTCCAGGCTGTCCATCCTCTCTTCCCATTCCCACTGGCACTCTCTTGAGGGTCAGTACTATAYGCCAAAACACTGAAATTACTTTTTTTCCAACTACTCTTCTGGAAAGAATTGGTGTCTTTCATTTCAGCTCCACAAATACCTGTATCAGCACAAGGGAGGGCAGGAGCTGAATACCACCAGTATTCAGGATGCACCATGCTACAGGATGCATCTTGCCATGAATGAATAAGTATATTTAACCACAACTTGAAAAAATCAACATGATAACCTCCTAAGCTCAGGAACTGAATCTGGAGACTCCARGTGTTATTTAAAAACTCCCAAGTGTAGTTCCAATCATGAAAACCCAACTGAGTCTCCAAAGTGAAGCAGCAGTTGCAGTGTGACAACAAAAGCATCACCATTGAGCAAGTGGAAAACACTATAAATTCACATTAAGGTCTGTAACATAACTTCTTTTAAAAGTTACTTTAGGTTCCAGCTTGCACTTGATCCTCACTGAAAACTATCTCTTTAATACATAGATCTGTGTTTTGTTGCCACTACAGATTTTTTTTAAACAACTCTTATTAAAACCTAAAAGCAATTATTGCATCTAATGCAGGTCCAACACAAAAGGAAGCTGTGAATGGCTGCCATCTGCTACCACAGGTGGCATGCATAGCTCTATTTATACTCGGGGCCTGCACTAGAAATGGTAGATGTTTCTCTCTTTAGAGATTTTTCTAATGATTTCAGAGCAGGCTATGTTATTTAAAAAGATGAGAAACAGGAAAGCATTGCCTCCAAAGCAGCATCTTGATGAGATGCACAGACTTTAGAATGAAGACGCTGACTACACTTCCTTCAGTCTCTTAGCAATACATACAGCATTTCTTTCCACTCCCAACAAAGAATTGATCACTCATGAAACAGTAGGTTCCAATTTGCATGCGTTTAACCCACTGCAAGAAGTAGCAGCATTGTTTACGATTAAAATGATTGGAGTAGGTTCCCGTGACATATTGTAGAGAGAATTCAACCGTGCTAAATAGTCATTTTCATTGAACAAATATAGCGTTTTATCAAATTTTCTCTTCCATCAGAACAATACACAACTATTTCCTACCATATAAAATTGACTGTTACACTTYGTGCTGTATTGCCACTCTGAATATTTTAGAAGATGT